AGCCAGGGTATTTTCAATTGCCACATATGTATATGAAACTTGGACACTGAATTAAAATCAACTGAAGAAACTCAATGCATACGAACTTTGGTGTAGGCATAGAATATTGAGCGTACGTACCATGGACTGCCAAACGAACAAACAGATGTCTTGAAGGAAGTATAACCAGAATGCTCCCTAGAGGAAAGGATGGCAAGACTTTGTCTCACATACTTTGGACACACCGTCAGGAATACCAGTCCCTGGAGAAAGACCTCATGCTTGGTAAAGGAGAGGGGCAATGAACAAGAAGACCCTCCACAAGACAGACCGACACAGCGGCTGCCACCATGGGCTCAAACAAAGAACAATTCTGAGGCTGCTGCAGGACCCAGTGGTGCTTTGTTCTGTTGTATATAGGGTTGCTCTGAGTTGGAACTGGCTTGATAGCATCTTACACCAACAACAAAGACCATTGTGTGTATGTACCAAAGTTAACTTGTCCATATTTCCACCGAGGAGCATTTAAGATGCTTCCATCTTTGCTATTGTTAATAGTGCTGCAATGAACATGGGTTTGCATATACGTATATTTGTCTGTGCTATGGGGCTTTTTGTTTGTTTGCTTGCTTGCTTTATGTAGGGTGCATACGAAGTACAAGAATTGGTATTTCTACTTCTAGTTATTTGAGGAGAAGCCAGACTACTTTTGACGGTGGATGTCATTTCAGTTTCACCAATTCTAGCGGGGCCCTCCAGCATTGGTTAGTTTCGGTTCTGTTTTCATGTGCAAAGGACAGATCTGATTGTGTCATCTTGAGCTCTATGGTTTTTGATGGCTTCCTATTCAATATGATCTGAACTTCTTAAGATGTTAAGGATCAGTTATCCACATGCAGAGTGAATTCCTTTCACACCCAGAAGCAAATCACGCTGCTTCTTTAGCGTGAGAAACACCTCCTCTCCACTTTCCTCATCCCATCTCATTGTTTCAGCTTCCATGTTTGTTTGCCGAGTCTTTACTGACTTTCCCATCAAAATTAGAAGCCTCCTGTCTCGGGTGCCTTTTAGTTCATTACAGTCTCAATTACCCTTGGAATTGCAATTGCTTGCCTGCATGAGTTCCCACTAGACTGGAACACTTGGAGGGCACATTTCTGTGTTGGCCCCTCTTTGAGCCTCAATATGGAACATAGTGTTTTGGCACCGATACTAATGTTAGTGTTCCATAAGTATCTGTTCAATAAGTTGCACACATAAAATCCATCGACCACGTTTGAGACGAAGGAGTAACCTTTATGAACACAACTCTTCAAGAGCACCATGGGAGCTACGAGGGAACTGATCGTTCAAGTAATACCCGTGGATTCTAAACGTGCTCTGGGTGTGTGTGACAGCCAAGAGCCACCGCCTCGCTGCAGTCGTACATTCTACACCCCCTATTTCTATTGTAAGAGCAAATCCATAACAAAAGGATAGGATGGAAATTTATTTTCAAACAGAGGTAGACTTCTGTCAAAAATACAATTTTAATCGGGGTAGCTTTGACAGAAACTAACATACAAAGATTTGCTGCAGAACATATAGAGAATTCATGAGCTGTAATCAGTAGTTTTTTAAAAAGCTCTAACAGGTCATTGAGACCTCCAGGTTAGACTGCTCCATAAATGGGCTCTCTTCCATCTTAAAAGAAGGTCAACAAAGAATGTACACTGTCTTAAAACCTTGATCCATTCTCTAACCACCCAAAATTTTCCTTGAAGCCAAGAATAATATACTCCTAAACTGATTGTGATGGCAATTGTACAATACTGCTTGACGTAATTGAACTATGGAATGATATGATATATATATATATTAACTCTCAATTAATAATAATAATACACCCTCAAAACTTGGATTTTTATTTCAGTAGCATTACAGTAAAAATGTAAATAGTTCCTAAAAAGGGGTGGGGGGGAGCGTGAGGTGGGGGAAAGAATAGAATGCTCCTAGTGAAGATTAAGGATCCTGGTGGCACAGTGGGCTAAGGGTTGGGCTGCTAACTAGGTCAGAGGTTCAAACCGATTAGCTACTTACCAGGAAGAAAGATAAGGCAAGCTCCCATAAAGATGTACAGCCTCAGAAATCCTATGAAGCAGTTCTACTCTGTCCTACGGGGTTTCAATGAGTCAGAATTAACTTAATGATAGTGGGTAATGGATAGAAGAGATGAAAATGAAGGTGGCTTTTGTTTTCTGCTATACCAATCCTTCCTAAGGTGCCCTGGTCGCACAGTGGTTACTCTTTGGGCTAGTAATTGCAAGGTCAGCAGTTCCAGGGGAAACTTTCTATTTCAGTAAAGAGTTACTGTCTCGGTAATTCACAGGGCAGTTCCACCCTGCCTTATAAGGTCGCTGAGTTGGTAACAACTCAAGTTTAGTTTCTTAACCCTTCCTTAAGGATCCTGCGTAGTGCTCTGGGTTAGGCATTGGACAAATAACTTCAAAGGTGGGAGTTCAAAACCACCAGCCACTCTGCAGGGGAAAGTTGAGGCTGTCTGCTTCCATGACGATTCACCGTTTTGGAAACCTTATATAGCTTTGCTCCAAGTCAGAATCAACTAGATGGGAATAACGGAACATTTCCCGAATTCACTACAGCATTTTTCTGTTTGGAGCTTAATTATTCTACATAGAGTGTATTGTAAAAATTACCATACAGACACTAGTTAGTGAACACTGAATATACAAGGGGTACCCCCAAAAAAATTTCCCCCCAAAGCTATGTAATTAAATTTTTTACAAAACAACCTAATCACCTTCAAAATACTCTCCATTATACTGAATACATTTGTCAAATCTGTGATTCCATTCTTGGAAACATTTTTCAAACTCATATGTTTGGAAGCTGACAGCACATTCCTCGTTTTTTCCTTCACCTCTTATACGTCGTCAAATCCCCATCCTTTCATGTACCTCTTCATTCCCCATCCTTTCATGTACCTCTTCATTCCCCATCCTTTCATGTACCTCTTCTTTCACGGAAACAAAAAGAAATCACATGGAGCAAGGTTGGGCGAGTAAGGCATGTGGGGCAAGAGAGGTATCCTGTTTTTGCCAAAAACTGGCACACTGAGATGTATGCATGAGCAAGTGCATTCTGGTGGTGGCAAACCCAGTCAGTCCCCTGTCTGCCACAAAATAAGGCCTCTTTTGTTGCACAGGATTACACAATCTTTTCAGAATCTCTAAGCTTGATGAACAGTCTGACCTGGTGGAACAAACTCCAAATGAGTCGACATTTTCAACTGTTCAGGAAGTTGACAGACATCCAGAATGAGGTTTGTCATCAATCGACATTTCACCTTTTTTGAAACGAGAAAACCACTCATACAGTTGAGTTTTTCCCATTGCACTGTCCTTGTAAGCTATATTCAACACCACAACAACTTCTGCGGCATTTTCCCAGCAAGAAATAAATTTCATAGTGGCATACTGTTCTCTTAAATTGGGCAACACAAAAAAAAAACAAGATTAAAGCAAAACAGCTTTTCTGAAAAAATTAACTATGACCAAAGAGAACCTTCCCAGGTGATGCCTCTGGGTGCTCTAACTCGATGCTCACCTAGTGGGAAAAATGCATACTATGAAAGCTCCAACCAGTGGAACTTTTCCCCATTTTCTTTTGGGGGTTACCACTTCGTATGTTAGATTTATCATGTTCATTCAGTCCTCACAACATTCTCATGAGGTAACAACTATTATAATCCCCATTTTACAGATTAAGTAACTGGGTTCTGAGATGTTAAGCAGCGTGGACAAGGTTGCCTAGCTAGAAATTATGTGGCGGGGACCATTAGAACAAGCCTGTCAGACTCCAGGAGCTCCTGAATCACTACACCTTTCTCTCTGTAGCTCACTTAATTGCTCTCTTTCTGCTATTCTGCATCCTCTCCAATTCCTTCATATTTCAGTGAAATGGATAAGAATTTCCAAGAGTTTTCCATGCTTGTCTCTTAAGATTTCACCACATTAATATATTGGAGTTTAAAAAAAAAAAACACTTCACAGATTTACTTGACTGTACTTTTGGGGCTTTTTTTCCCCTACAATCAAACTTTTTTTGATTACACAAAGTAATAAGATTGGCATGTGGAATACAGAATTAACCCATTTTTATCTTTTCCTGTGCATTTATACATATAAGCTACATACTATTAGTATTGAAATATATCCAAATCAAAGCACTGAACATAAATATGCATTATCTCTGAAATCCATCAATGGTAATCACGAGTGAATTTCAAGGAAATTCTTAGAAATAATACAAATCTATAATAGTCATGAAATGGTTTTTATGATATTTGGAAAGTAAGAATACTGTTGGAGCGAGTATATAATAAAATTAGCACTGCTGCTAATATTAGTAACTAGCATTTAGATAACATTCCATGTCAAGCACTGTCCTAGCACTTTCGAAACCTTCATATACATTAAGGTGGTGGAAAAAGACATTTCAGTGGCAGTTAGGCAATCTGTTGGGTTAGTTTGTCAAAATCTCTGACAACCATTTCCTATGTCAGAATGGCTAGTTTGATCATTGATTCTGCACTTCAAAATTATCACACACATCATGTTTTTCTTTGTATTTGGAATTCAATGTTTACCTTCACGCTTTCTTAAATACACTTGAAACTGAAGGTTCTCCAAATAGTCATAACATGTAACAAACTATTGCTGTATCATTCTACTAGTGATGCCGAATTTGTCAGATTGTTAAATCTGCTACAAAGCACGGCCCCTTTAATATGTAGGCTTCCTAAAGCATCTAATAGAAATTATAAGGTTTGAAACCAGGCCAACAAATACTTGTATTTTCAAAATAGCCTAAGCCACAGCTGCCACTTTGTGTTAGCATCTGGAGCGATGGAAGGTACACCAGGGAAACTATGGTATGCCATCGGTAAGATGCATTTCTCAGTTACTTCTTCTGACGCTTCCTCTACTCAAGCAGGTATAACGAAACAGGCTGAGTCTAGATTACAGGTTGTTTTTCATTTTTTATTAGGGACATAAAACGATCTGATTTCAGACATAATTTCAGAAAGAAGCATTTCAGAGGGCAAATCAGTTACAAAAGGAAACAAGAATGGCATTTGAAAGAGTATTTTAACATGTCAGTTTTCTTTCTAAAAAACATGTTGCTTTTTTAGGTAAGGTGCCTAACCCCCAGTTTAATCAGGATAGTCTTGGTTCGATTTTTTCCCCCTTTTTTAATCTCAGTAATTAATTGATCCCCCTCTCATACTTACAAGTATTCCATTCGCATGATAAATTATATAGCCACCCAATTTCTGCATCATAAAATAATTAAATATCCTATGCTCGGCTCTTCCTTAATTACTTGATAATTTACACAAAGTTTCAACCTCTGCTAATGTTTTCAAGAAAAGAAAAAAGAAGGACACTTCCCTCAGATGATAAACTATCTTTTCGCTTTTCTGTCTTCTAACATGCTTAAAATAGATTCATCTTAATCAGTCTAAGTAAATACAATTTTCTTAGTCATCTTGTCAGCCTGTGCATCAGAAAACAAGACATTCTTTGGTCTTTGCCATCACGAAAGAAATACTTCTATCTCATTTCAGAGTATCAATTTCACCCAACTCATCAGATGCTGCTGTCAGTCTGGGATATTTTTGCACGTGTAATTTTTTTCTCTTTTTTCTTTTTTTAATTTTATGCTTACAGGCATCAAATTAAAGACTTGCAATTTCTTTATCAAATCTACAGTTAGTGGCAACATGTGAAGCTCCACTCATCTTTTTCAGTAAGTCATCGTACATTTCATGTCAGGGGAGAAGAAATTCTTGCTGGCATGTAAATTAAATTAGCTACCATGAAAAATGTGCTGGAAAAAGAATATACTATCTAGTGTCTCTTGTATCATCAGCAAATCCAAGCTAGGTTCATTCTAAGTTAACTTGTACCGACGAAAAGGCAAGGAACAGACAGGCCTATAAGGTGAACAAAGCCCCAGGGAGGTACACACTCAAGACAACAACTAATCACAAGAAAACAACAATATAAAAAAAGCAAGTTATTCAGATCTACCAGTGCAAGGAGGAACCCCAGGGAAGAGAGGGAGACAAGGAGAGACTCGGTGTCCCTTGAGGAAGTATAGAGGTTTCTGGTGATGACTATGGGTGAAAACCAAGCAGAAACAGTGGAGGCAAAGCTGTCTGCCTTAGGAGGCCAAGCCTAGCAGAAAGCCTCCCAAGAAACCCCCAGTAGCAAGAATATTCTTCTTCGCAAATGACACCACAGCCTCAGTTTTACTCTCCACCTCACTAGGCATCCTAGGGCTTTTCAGGTGTTCTTGGGCTTTCTTCATATCCTTCTCCACTCGCTGCCAGTCAACCTTGATGTAGCCAGTATGGTTTGCAAGCTGAAGGAGAAGAAACCCACCTCCCACAGCTGTTGCTGCCAACTTCCCAACCTTCTGGAAGAGGAAGCCTGTGCACCAGCCTGTGGCGCCTCCAATGAGCAGCTGGGGAACCGTGCTGTGCTTTTTGTGTCCAACTAGCTTGCGCCACCATGACTGCTTTTTTTCAAACTCCGTAAGGTCCAAGGACTTAACATTCCCTTCAAAGTTTCGTTGACTGGATAGGGCCGTAGCAGTGTGTGCATCTCCCAAGGGCCCCAGTTGTATCTCTTGGGACACGGAGTGCAGTGCCCTCGTTGGCACCAGAGGGCTTCCAGCACGCGGGGCAGATGTTTCCATCTTCACAGACCCAGCAAAAGAGCCGCTTGTGTCATTTTTATCACAGAATGCTTGGATGGAAATTGAAAAGGGAAAAACAATTAAGTAAAAAGAAATCAAACCAGTTGATATTTCACATATCCAAGTAACGACCAAAATTGATGTTAGAAGAAAAGGTTGGAAATGTTTATCAAAAATAAGTCTGGGGAATAGTCTAAGAATAAAACGTATTCAAGGTTTCCTTGGACTTTTGAACTAGGCAACAGTTCTAAAATGCTTTAGCTTCTGGACCCCTTATACTCCTAAAAATTACTAAAATACCTCCCTCCCATAAGATTTTATTTATGTTGGTTATATTCATCCGTGTTTTCTGTAGCAGAAGTTAAAGCAGAATTTTAAATATATACATTAATTCAGTATAAAGTATCAATAATAAAGCCAATATTTAACTTTCTATGAAATATAACCATATTCTCCAAAACAAAAATTGTTTAGCCAGAAGAATGGCATTATGTTACAATTTTAATAACTTCTTTAACGTCTGATTAAACAGCTAGATCTATTTCTGCACTTGGTCCATGGCATTGTTTTAAGTCTAGAAAAAGCCCACCCTCACCTAAATGTCAAGTTAGAAAAGAGAGTAACAGTCTTTTCAGATTGTACGAAAGTCTTCTTTGATATTATACCCAAACTAGACAAATTTCGAAAGCATCCGTTGCAATATGGAATCTTAAAGCATATCAATTCGCTCTCTACACCCCAATCTATAGGTAGATTCTGAACTTTTCTTTGATCTTTTATTTACACATAACTTTGAAACGATGTATATTGGTCATCTAAAAAATATTGATTCACTTATCTGTGTAAATCTTCCAAGTGTCAGCACATTTCACTCTAAGACACCCCCAAAAGCACATTCATTAATACTCTATATACAGCAGATCAAAACACTGCCTGGTCCGGCATCATTCTCACAATTGTTATGTTTGAGCCTTTGTTGCAACCACTGCGTCCATCTAAGATCTTACTCGTTTTCACTGACCCTACCTTTGCCAAGCACGACACCCTTCTCGTCCAGAGTACATGAGGTGGATTCTCACCATCTTCACTTCCAAGAACATTCCTTTCCAGACAGATTTGTTTGCTCTCTGGCTGTGTGTGGTATATTCAATATGCTTTGCAAATACCACAACTCAAATGCACTAAAATATTTTCTGATTTGTATGTCGCGAAAGAATCCATGTCCACTGTAGTTTTATGTTTCCTCTTTTTACGGCCGCTCAGACCAATGGTTAGATCTGGGCATCAGTTCTTCTGTAGCCTTCTTTACTCACTGTCCAGCTTTCACGTGCACAGAACGCCACACAAAGCATCGTGGCTTGGGTCAGACGCACCTTAGTCTTCCAAGTGGCATCTCTGTTCTTTAAGACTTCAAAGAGGTCTCAGGCAGCAGATTTACCCAAGGCAACATGTCACCTGATTTCCTGTCTGCTGCCTTCATGCGTGCTGACTATAGATCTAAGTGAAATGAAACCCTTGACAATTTCCATCTTTTCTCCATTTGAATGTTTTTTATTGGTCTAGTTACGGGAATTTTCACTTTTGCGTTTAATCCAGTGGGGAAGACAAAACAATACCTTAGAATTATTATGAACATTTTTGTGCCTCACAACTTTTCTCAGGAACTCATGCACCAGACTTTGAGAACTAGCAAACTACAGTATATTTTTAAATAATTTAAAATGCAACAAAATTAAGCATTGAGGATGATAATATTGAAATTATTCATATAAATGAGTTTATTTCCAATACAAATGAGGTACATTTTTTATTGAAAAAAGTAAATGTTGGGCATGAGGAAAACAGACATTCGAGCACCTATGTATCATCAATACCCTTCAGTGGCATGTAAGCAATGCAAACCATTTCATCAGATTCAACATTTAAAATTTTATCATTTATCTCACAAACATCAATATTTAGAAATTCTGTATGGAGACAGTAAGCGGATTGATAATTGCCTGGGGCACAGCAGGGGAGTGGGGGGTGGGCAGCTAACAACAATGGGCACGAGAAGAAAATGTCCTTAAATTGGTTGTGGTTAATATTGTACACATCTTTTTCATATGACTGAATGATTAAATTATATGATATGTGAAGTGTAGGCCAATGAAACTATTTTTTAAAGATGTAAACATTCTGAAAGGCTTTAATATTTTGATACTTACTATGCCTTTCACACAGTACCAAATAATTACATTGGCATTATTACCATTCATAACAGAGCCCCCCCCCCCATAACTATATACTACAACTAGGAAGGATCAAAAATACATAAGAACTCCATGCTTTGGGCGCTCTGAGGTTAAATTGGCCCAACCCTCACCCCACCCCTCAATGCCTTTGTTATAGTCTCAATTAAATTGGAGCACTGATTTGTAGGATCCAATTCTATAGGTTTATGGCAACATTGACTTCATCCTCTTTTATTTATGGTAATTTTGATAGTTTTATTGATATATAATCCATATATCATGCAATTTAATCGTTTAAATATAAAAAAAGGAGTTGTGCAATCACAACAATTAGGACATTTTCTCCTTTCTTGGATTCATTATTATTAGCTCCCCCATCCTCTTCCAATCTCCCTACCATAACCCTAAGAAATTATCAATCTAGTGACTGTCTCTATAGATTCCCTAACCTGGATTTCATATAAGGAAAAACATACAGAAATGACAACAATAACAAAAAAATACTTCAACTGAAAATAAGGCAGAAAATATAACCTAGAACAAATTTAAAATGGATCAAAGGGGTGAACAAAAGATAAGGTGTTACATGTTAACCACGTCTGCATTAGTCCACTTTCTAATGCACTCTGATAGCAAGGCTATTCACATCCCTGGTCAATGGTAAAAAGGGATTCACCAAAGGTTCAATCCATGTGAGGACCCTGCAAGTGGATTTTAGGCTTCCGCTGTCAACCACAGCCTTCTGCAAACTGGGTACTCAGAATTTAAGCTCAAATACCATTCCCTTCTCTGGTCTTGCATTTTGTTATTTACAATCTTTCGATCGCATAGGCTGGTGTGGGCTTAGCTAACACTTCACTTAGATGGCTGCTTGTTCTAAGGCAAGCTTTTAAGAGCCCAGACGCTATCCTTTCTGATAGCCTGGCACAATTGATTACCATATTTCGCTATAGTCCCCATATTATCAGTGTTTTCTTTATGAGGGCAAGTACTAAGTAGGACCACTGTATAAGTTCAAAATGCATTCATATATCTATGGTTTACATCATTACGTTATTGAGGAACACTGGAAGTCATCCCCATAAGGCATATGGTAACTCTATTAGTCCAAGGGCTTGTTTTAGTTCCTTTAATCTGCTACAGGTATGTTTAAGGTAGACTCCAGTTTCCTTAGTGGGGTTTCCAACTGGATCCTTCTGGTGGCCTATGGAGGATGTTATGCACCTCCAAAGGATGGAGTCCTGGTTGTTGAACTTCATCTTCTTTTTATTCCATATCTATCTATTCTGTCTCCTTTATCACATACTATCTGTGTGCCTGTGTGTGTTGTATCAATCTTCTTTCCTGTTCTCCTCATAAGCATTCTCTCTCTCTCTCTCTCACACACACACACACACACACACACAGCCTAAACCTTCCTTTGCTAAAGAAGGTACCTCCTGTAGTTCCCTTCATCCACCTCTCAAATCATTGCTTCTCTCCCCAGAAAGCCATATCCAATACTCACAGCAAGTCTCGTTTACTATCCATCTCTCCACTTTTCTATCTCGCCTCATATTTGGAGCTCTGCCCCTCCCCTTGCCCTAGGTAAACAAACCTTCTGCCACTTTCCTATCAAAGTCATTCATATTTTGAATAAAGCCCTATTTATCTATTTCTCCTCTTCTGTTTTTCAGATGCAGCCTCAGCCTCCTCGGTGATTCTATTCCACTTATAAGGATTGTATCTTACACGTCTCTGAATCTCAGGATACTCAACAGAGGCACATTGTACATGCTCGAGAATATTCACTAGATTAATGTTGAGTAATCATTAGCTATTAAACCAAAATGCTGAAAAAAAAAATAAAATAAAAAATAAAAAATAAACCAAAATGCTGTTGGAGTTTCCAGGAAATAATTTTCTTCTCTCAGTTTGCAGAAGTTATAGAGAAACACACTGGTCTATAAAAAATACCTCCTGGGCCTCACCAATGTTCTCACTGCCTCCTCAGATATGTATGACAGCCAAAAGCAAACTAGTCTTTGCAAGCACTAAATTGCTTATCAGTCTTACAAAGGGTGTCATTTAGTCAATTGCTTTCTCTAAGGATAGATAAATGCAGCATAGCTGGATGAGAAAAATTAATTCATCTAACTTCAGTAAGTAGCTCACAGAGAACGGTTTTCACCATCATAGGACATCTGACCTGTATTTCATTCCTAGTTTCCATCAGTAATAGCTGGTGTGTGCTGCTGTCCCTTCATTATTAGTTTTATAGGTTGACATTTTCGCAAAGAGCACTGTCGGGCAAGGTTGGGCTGCTAACCACAAGGCCAGAGGTTCAAAGGCCACTCAAGAGAAAGATAAGCCTGTTCCCTCCCATAAAGGCCGACAAAGTCTTGAAAATACTACGATTTGGGAACTGGCTATGAATTGGAACCGACTCGATGGTAGTGCTTTTGGGGCCATTCGGTTCACTACGAGTTGGGAGGGACTCAGTGCCAATGGGCAGGGCCACTAGATTTGGAAGGCGTTAACGTCCAACAGTAAAGAGGCACAGAGAACCAAACAGTAGTAATTTTTAACTGAAGTTGTGAATGTTGATTTTATATCCTACTCAAGTTTCCTACTCAATTTTCCTCACATCATACCTAAAAGTATATTATAGCAGAAAATGGGCAACAAAGTGCTTACTGTAGAAATGTGAATCAGTCAAAATTAATATCACAGAAACAAATATTAAGGTGAAAGATTGTTAATTAGAGACAAAAAGAAAAATTTTAAATAATAAAAGGGTCAATCTGTGAAGACAATATTAAAAATTATAATATGCA